AGCTAAAACAGACAACACCACAAACCTTTTCCACTGTTTGAAACAATATGACCCGTTAGAACACAGCAAAGGAAAGAAATGACCGAACATCATAAACGAGTGTTAGTGTGTCTTTATTGTAAATAATATAAACAGTCTGTGGTGTGGACCCTCAGTAAGCAGCGAGCCAGTAAGTGTTACTGCCCAGCAGCAAACTGTCATATCAGCGTTTTCCAGCTCCTGTTCTGACAATAAATGATAATTAAACCAAAATTAACCATCTGGTTTATTCAACTTTCACTCTGAAGCAAAAATCTGCCTTTACATTTGAAAAAAATAACAATTTAACATTTCCTAGTCATATCGCCCAGGCCTACGTACCATGCCTGGAACCATGACAACCAACTACCCCAATACTCGTGACCATAAAACATCTGATTTGGCGTAAAAACAGCGTTAAGAAACTGCGAATGATATTGCTTCTTCTTAAATGTAACTTAAGTCATTGTTATCGTGTTTATACCATTAATATAAGTTTTATAGTTTGAGTTTTTGAATATATAAATTATATTCACTGTGTTAGCTAACTAACTAGCTAGCCTGCTAGCGGAACTAACTGTTTGCACACTGGGGGAAGAAAACATTGCCATGTTAACAGAGAGCTCCACCAATCAGAGATATTGTATTGTAGTAGAGGCTATTGTAGTTCTTTTTCCCTGATAGCACAAATAAATCTTGTTTTTCTTTAAACAAGGTTGACATCATATAAACTTGTGTCTCCTGAAGGAGCATTAAACATCGTTTTACACTCAGGTGTAGCTCCTAGTCAGTATAACTGTGATGGTTATGACATCTAAAATCCGCTATAAAGAAAATGAGTGGGATTTTGACTTCTGGAACTGTTGAGCCCATTTTAACAAACTGTTTGCCTGATGAACGTCTACTATCCAAACGATGCCAATAAATGTCTGCTTGCAAGTTAGACAGGGTGCTGGAGTTTACCTTTAAGAGCACACATTGCTCTCCTCCACACCTGTCAGATGCACAAAAAACATGTGTGCAAAGTTTTTTTTCTGTTATTAAAAAATCAAAAAAATTGCACAGTGTTCGGTGCCTAGGAATTCCATTTGTGTTGCCATATTATTAAAACAGGTATCTTTATTGCTTTGACTTTGTAATATTGTGTCAAAGCTTTAAATTCCAGTATCATGACGACCCTCATCAGTGCATCCATCAGATACAATATGTCTCATCAGCTACTGTTAATTCTTTGTCATTTCATCTAACTTAATAAACCATGGGAGAAAAGAATGGTGAAGAGGTTGAATTAATGCATGATTCAATAACAGCACATTATTTTTATCTGTTTCTTCATAAAGTTTTCAATCTATATTAATTTGAGTCCAATGATGTGTGTCCGTGTAGCTTTGTTGGCTTCATTTCATCACAGTCATGTATTTTTCAAACCTGACAGTTTAAAAAGAAAAATTATAAATCTTTAAAGAAACTGCAGACAGAGCAAACAAATAAAAAATATAGCTATTTTAAGCAATTTACCGAAGGAACAGAGCTAAAGTTCAGCTCAGCAAAAAATCAAACTTTTTTAAGAAGACAACGTCTGTATAACAAGCACAGAAATAAACCCCGGCTGTGACATCAAAGAGGGGATGAGGCATAAAAAAGTCAGGCGAATGAATTAGCTCAGACAGCTCGTCAAACAGGCAGACAGAGAGCAGAAGGATTCAGGAACATGGAGGCTGCAGAGTGCCTGATGCATCCAGAGTAGAGCTGGAGAGGAGGGAGGTCACATCAACCCGTCAAGGAAAAGAAAAAATGCAATTCATGCTGGAGAGGAGATGATGTTAGGACGAGTGTGCCTCAGTATACTGTACAGTGTGAACAAATATAAATGTGTCAGGTAACTTCCATTATGAGGGTTAGAACTCTCAAGCTTATGATTATCAACGATATAGGGTTATATATGAGAACCAATAGAAATGCCAGATGTTGTTTTTCAGCATTTGATTTGTATGGATTCTCTTCTCTTCAGTGATAAACATAATTGTCATTTCATATATTTATGTTAAGACTGTGTGGTTGTTACCTTGGTGTTTGAACCCAGAGATGAATCATTATCTTTATAAAATGTCGTCTGGAAAGATGTTCAGACCCACGACTTCTAATCCAAACTCAAAGAAGAAGCACCACGAGCAAAATGCCTTCACTTCAACTACAGTCAAAGGTTTCAGACGTCTGATTATCACCGAGGAGAATATATCTATTTTTATTATGAGGTGAACTAACCCTTTACCAGCGTAAATGTTGAATGGACTTACACCGCAGGTCACACCTACAAATTCACACGCTGATGGTAGAGGCTGCTGTGTGAAAGTGTCCATCAGTATTAACAAACTGTGTACTTACATACACATTCATACCCGCTGAAGAAGCAGTGGGAGCAACTTGGGGTCAAGTGTCACATTGGACATGTGGCAGCAGGAGCTGGGGATTGAACCCTCAACCTTTCAGTCTTTCCACCAGGGTTTCCACCAGACTCAGTTGGTAGAGTCGTTGTTTCTTAACCAGAAGGTCGAGGGTTAGATCCCCAGCTCCTGCAGCAACATGTCCGATGTGTCCTTGGGCAAGACACTTAACCCTTAATTGTTTCATCTGCGGTGTATAAATGTGTATAATTAGTTACTTCTGATGGACTCTTTACTCAGCAGTCTCTACCATCAGTGTGTGAATGTGTAGGTGTGACCTGCTGTGTCAAAGAGCTTTGAGTAGTCAGAAGAATAGAAAAGAAATATACAAGCTAAAGTCCATTTACCATTGAGAGACAATTGACACTGAGCCACAGCCACCACATGTGATAGTTAGATGACAGTGTGACTCGTCCTGTCGTAGTGTTCTGCTCTGCACAGGTGCTAACGTCTTCTCCTTGTGGAATAAACTTTCATTTCCATACAGAGAGTCACTCCTGAGGATTACTGTGTATTATGACACAGATAAGCACAGGTGTTTAGATGACAGTAGGACCACTAAGGGAGGGATATTAAATTTAAATCATCATCGATTATTAAGAGTGCCTCATTAAAATAATCCTCTCCAAGATGCCACCTTCTCATACGGTAGGAAAAGAGCCCTCTTTTGGATCTGTGAACACATTTTCTCAGACAATTCAATGAGTTTTAAAACAGTTTATCTTTAAGGGGTTGGGTGAAGAAACAATTAATTAAATATTTTGGGAAAAAAAATCAGAAATGCCATGATTTCCAGGTGCTTACTCGAGGTATGAGATGCATTTTTTGAGGTTGTTTTCTTTATGGATGTTTGAATGTTTATGTCTGATAAACATCCCCTATTGTTACTCATTTTTCTGCATGTATATGCCTTGCAGGCATAGGTTACAGGTCAGATTCTAACCCATCTCTGTACATGGGGCTCACACACTAAACCCTAGGGTACTGGCGCCTCTGAACGTTTTAAAAGACACATTTTAATACAGGTTTTTGCCTGGACAGTACTGACATCTATCTTTTGTACACAGCCATATTAAAGAAGTTGTTGAAAAAGAGTTCACAGCCTGTATTTGACTCCCACTTGTCATTAAAAACAAAACCCACTGTGTATTCTCAAATGTGTAAGGTTTTTTCCATACTCCACTCAGACACTGATGCCACTAGGGTAGCTCACACTGCCATGGCAGCTCTCAATGGAACTTACAACCCGCCATGCTTGAGACCAGGCTTGTGAAACATTAAATATGAGCCTGTGTCTGTTTAGGCCTACTGCATGTGTGGCAGAGTGACATGCACTTGAAAATCAAATTGCCTGGTGTTGCAAAACTGGTGTTTATAAAGCCGTGTGTGTCCAATATAAGGCATGCCTTAAGGCCATATGCCATAGAGACGATAATCCGCATTTAAATCAATCCAATACTTGTTGTAATTGCCTTGTGGTTTGCCAATTGGTTTAATTAGAATTAACACAAAAAACCTAAAGGCTAAAGAGCCTTACTAAACCTGCATGTGATGCAAGCCTGCAAAATATTTTTAGTTTGCATGCTCTCAAACACCTGATTGCATAGGGCACCATCTGCAGAGCACATCTGCACCTGATGCATCTGTCGGGCATGTGCACCTGTATCTATCTACATGTGCACCTGTATCTATCTACATGTGCACCTGTATCTATCTACATGTGCACCTGTATATATCTACATGTGCACCTGTATCTATCTACATGTGCACCTGTATCTATCTACATGTGCACCTGTATATATCTACATGTGCACCTGTATCTATCTACATGTGCACCTGTATCTATCTACATGTGCACCTGTATCTATCTACATGTGCACCTGTATCTATCTACATGTGCACCTGTATATATCTACATGTGCACCTGTATCTATCTACATGTGTGCTGCCGCTTACAGCTGAAGTATAGCTGCATGTGTGGAGCTTCATGAAAATCATTAAGTGACAGGAAGATCCAGGCTGTAACCATGTCATGCTGCATGTGCAGCTAGGAGGGAGGGAGGGAGGGAGGGAGACACTGCATCAAAAAAAGGGCAGGATATCCCTGTGTGTGCATGCGTGAGTGTATGTGCGTGTGTGTAAGTGGCTGAGTGAGTGAGGGGCTACAATTAGCCAATAAATTCACCTGCATCAAGTGTGTATGTGTGTGTGAGGTTGGGGGAAGGGGGGGGGGACTGCAAAGCTGACTGTTAGTGTGATAAAAAGGGTTCCCTCGCTCTTGATACATGTAGCAATCTGCAGCCCCACACATCACAAGCCCACTGCCTTCATTCAGAAATTATGGCAAGCTCTTAAGAGTCAGACAGCTACAGCTATTCACATGCTGCCTGCTGCTGCACTGCCACCATGGCTCTAATGGGGAGGTTTTATTTCTTATTTATATATTTATTTATTGAATGGTTGAGGGGGGGGGTGATCACAGGCCTGTTCGGCATGCATGTAAGTGGCTGCAATGTGCAAAAAAAAAAAAAGCCTCACCTTTAATGTTGTGTTTGGATAGCTCACGGGCACCTTAAGGAAAGTGCTGTTGGAAAGCACCGCCTGTCTGATATCCTCGAAGATGGTGATGATATCATCCAAGAGGCAGCGCTTGTCCCTGTGGCTCAGGACGCAGAGGTGCGCGAACGTGTAATTGAATCCCTTGTAATTGACGCGCAAATCCAACACCTGCTTGTGGACCTGCAGGACCTGGTCGGCCAGCTCCAGGATGTTCCCCCCGGACTTTGCCAGCAGGATCAGCCTGCCATATCTGCCCGGGGTGTGCAGATCCGAGTACAGCTTGTGCTTCGACTGGTCGATGGGAAACAGGCTGTTGGCGAGACTCCGCTCGATCTTGGCGAGGCTGTGAGTAGGGGCGACCAGCACCTCCAGGTCCGTCTCCGGCTTGAAGCGGCTGAGCACGGTAGATCCGAAAATGATGGTGAGGACTGCGGGGACCGTGAGGAAGAAAACGGGATGCCTGCTAACGAATAAGCCCAGCCAGTAGAATGAAGCCTTGAGCCCTCTGTGTATCACTTGCCGCAGCATCCTCCACAAAATCCAGCTTGCAGATGCCCCGTCTCCTCCGATGAAGCACATGTGACATCAGACTCCGATCCCCGGCTTAGTCCAATTCGTAAGAAAATAACACCAGGCTACACCACCACCACCATGCACACACGTTCACACACGCACGCACTCACGCACGCACACAAACACACACACACACACACACACACACACACACACGCACACCACAACACCTGGAAAAACAGCACTGCAGCAATTCGCGGCAAGACGGACGGACACAGACAGGCAGACAGTCAGAATATCATCGTGCATAAGCCGATGGAGACGAGTCCGTGTTGTCTGCTCTCAAGCCATTCCGTCTCCGTGTGATGGAGAAAACAAAAAAGCCGTGGAGTCTCCTTTCGCTGCACCGGCTGCAGTAGCAGCGACGAGCCGTGGCGGCGTGAGGTGCATGTGTGCCTCCTGTGTGCCTCTTACAGCTCTCTCTCACACCAGCAGTGGCGCCTGATTTATGTACTTAACTGTAACCATGTGGCGGGGAAAGAGGGGTGGGGGTGGTGGGGGGCAGGATGCTTGTGCCTGGTTATTTTTAGGAACAGTGGATGCAACATGAGAGTTGTAAAAATGTGTCCTGCAGGTGGCTTAATGGCCAAAAGCACTTGCAGGGATGAGTCACGGTTAGCTTCATGAATGGGGAAAACCCACCTTGAGCACTGCTTTTGCTGAGTGGTTTATACAGGGCCAGAGCAGAGTGGTGTGACAGGGCCATGCCCCCCCCCACCCATTCTTTTAAAAAACAGCCTGTCTGTTTAAGTGGATTGGCATGGATGACTCTCAAAGGGACACACACACACACACACACACACACATCCTCTTTAACTCCAGTCATTACCACTTCTGTTAATCAAATATTGTTTTGTTGGAGTCCAAGAAACCTGTCACTGCTCACTAAACTTGCACATTTCCCTGCCTTACATTAAGCCAGTGTGAGAAAGTGATGGGACATGATAATTTAATGTCCATTTGATGGTCATTCTGAGTGCAGAGGGTTACAGCATTGCCGGCATACATACTATGTATGTTCGTGTTTGACCTTGAGCTGGGTCGTGTTGGGTATCAAACCTTCAGTGACATTGGGTTAGTTTAATGTAACATAGAGAATGCCTTCAATTTGTAAGCAGTGCATTTAAGCCTGACTCATCATTGGTGTTTTTTATCCGGCCAGCAGAGGCAGCACTGAGACTCACTGCTGCTGAGCACCATGCTGGTGAGAGGGACGGACACTATAGATTTAAATTTACATGATGTGCATTAGCTGTGTAGTAAAACATCCAGTCTATTTGATAAATCATGGTTCGCATGATACTTCCTCCAGCTAACACCAGATGTATTGTCTTGAAAACCCTTAAAGGCTTTATATGCAATTTTTTGATCCAGCAGATGTCGCCCTTGAGCACCAGCATGAAACCAAAACAACTTGCGCTGCATTGTTGTGTTAGCATGCTAATGATAGCGATCTTTATTATGTTCATATCTTCACACTGCATGTAAATTTACCTGAAATGAGCGTGATCTAGAAACACAGTTAAGCAGTGAGTACAGTATGTTATTCTTCTTTTCTCTAGTCCCTCAATTAAACAACTTTTATACACGAGGGGAGGAGTCAGCCGGCCGTCCTGGCGATGTAAACAAAGTGAAGATAGGACTCTGAAAACATCACAGACAGTGGGACTCAGGTGTTACACCCATTGTAGACAGTCATGACTCACAGAGTTATTTTCAGAGGATATACTTCATTTATACATTTAAGTGTGAAAAATCACATATAAAGACTTTAAGTCATCCAAACTAAATGACAGACAAACTAAATTGTCAATAAAAAATCTAAACTGGTCACTAAGATTGCCTACCAACCACTGAGTATGTAGTTCTAACAACTCTTGGTAACTATAAGAGGTTTGGGCCCCCTTTGAGGCCCCTCTTACATCTTAAGCTGAACATCCCAGGAGTCAATGCTCGTAGACTTTAATACAGCCGAAGTTTCTTTCCATACAGCACAAATATGTTCACAACAATGCTTTATGGAGGCACAACAATAACTTTAAAACATATTCAAACGATCATTAAAGAGACAGTCTGGCTGTGAATGTGTGCTGGTTTGAACCTAAGAGACATTTTTTATAAAGAATGGCAACAATCCAAAGAAATAAAAAATAATGGATACCCAATATATTTTGACCCTCCCTCCGACGTGGATTACAAATAACATTTATTATTTAAACCGATATGTCTCAGATTATTTTTCTGTCCTCTTGAGCCACAAGAAACTAGGAATAAGGATAATGCAGGGGTCTTGTGACTAGAGTGGTAAAAATAACTTTACTGTTACATATTCATTTTCCGATTAGTGCAGAATCGTTTGAGGTCTGGGATCCTGAGGCAAATTTCCTCTCTACAGCCACTGGAGCAATTAGTCAACTTAAAGGTTACACTGTTTTTTTTTTCCCCCTTTCACTTTTCTCCTTATTACATTTCTGCTTAGTAAAATCCTCACAAACGCATGTAACTGCCTGCTGTGTTGACCAGATCCACAGACAAGGATTATACCGCCAATAACGTCTCTGTGAGCATTTCATCAATGAACAATCCCAGCTCAGGATTAGAATGAGTTTGTGCTTGTTACAGTACAGTTGTATTCTCTCGGGTTTACAGAGGTTATTATCAATGAAACCTCTTACCAGTGCTTATACAAAGAAAGCTACTCAGAGAAACCCCCTTAAGTGTAAGTGACCTGGACCTGAATGTTGCCAGCACCTCTGATAGTTGGAGGAACAGCGGCGAGGAAGGAGCATAAAAAGTAGGGCATGCACAGTTTCTGCCTCTGCACCTGAATAATTTCTTGGCATGAGTAAGTGTTCATTCAACAGTCTGCCAAACAGGCCTCCTGAGCACAAGCTGCAGCAGCCATATTTGTTCTTATTTGTTTTTCCTTTGATTGTCGTCATGTGCGTTTGTCGATGTCAGTGACAAAACTGGAACCCCTGCTCACAAAGCCAGCACGAGGAACACTGAATGATTCAAACGGGTGCACTTTGAGTGACTAAATCATTATTCTGGATTTCCAGCTGTTCAGAGTTCTAGAAATTCAAAATTCAGAAAAGCCTTCACCCCTGAGAGATCGTTTCTCCCAATTCAGCGACCTGCCCATGCCATATATTATAATATATATATATATATATATATATTATAATACAGCTGTCATGTGAATCTACTAATGCATGGTTGAAGCATGAATCCTCATCAGTATGCACAGTTTATAGTCACTAACATGCTTCAGACTTCTACTCTGGTGGTGTGTGGGTCTTCTTCCCTCATCCCGAGGTGGTGAATCTCATTTATGGAAGAACTTAATCAGAGGCGCACACAGTGGCCACACTCGGCTTTATCGTTGATGCAAGATCCCTCCTTAAGAACCACAGCTTGGTCAGTGGAGAGAAGGTCGCCGATGGTAACCCTGAGGTGTTGTAGCAACGTCCTGCAATAAACCAATGTGGACATAACGGCCTCTTTTCAACTGTCATTGTCGGGGGAAATCTTCATCTTCTGATGCAGTGTTCTCAACTTCAAGGGGGAAACACAAGAAAATGGTGCCTTGGTTGGGGCACAGGAGGTGATCTGCCTCTCCAGCTACCAGACCAATTTCCTCACTGGGACTTGAACTGATGATCTTCTGGTTCCCAACTCAAGTCCTTACAGACTGAGCTACTGCCGTCCCCAATGTATGAAAATGATGCTTCATGGCTATTTCAAAGTTTAAAGCTGTGTTTTGTTGCTTGTTTGCATTCAGCACATTGATAAGTATATGATTTCTGTTTTATATTCTTCATTTCCAAAGGTTTTTCACCTAACAAAGCTAACTGAAAGCTAACAAAGCTAACTGCAGAAAATCAACTTTCTAAATAAAAGGAGAAAAAAGGGAAAGTTTGTATTTGAGTGGAATCCATTTATTTTTTCAAATGATGAGTCAACAGTGTGACAACCACAGACAGACAAAAATATATCAAATAAATAAGAACTCACATTAATATAATTTATTGAATAAATATTCCTTATACTTTTATTTATATCAGATGGACACTTCACATAACAACCTCTGTCTTCAGTGTGAATGTGTAGGTGTGACCTGTGGTGTAAAAACTAGGAAAGTGCTACTAAATTAATGATTTGTTGGTATCAGTATACATATCACCAACATGTGTATGTTTAAGTTGACATTATTAAACTTTATTATTGTTGAGTCAATCCCTCTGTGTTTTTTTTTGTGGCAGTCCTCACAGTTAGGTCTTCCTCACACTCAATGTGTGTCTGTGCAGTGTGCGCGGGTGTGTATGTGTGTTTGTGTCAGGTCTGTGCGACTTTATGAAAGTGATTTTCTGCCTCAGTGGCTAATGCTAGCAATGTCCTGTAATCCTGCAGGGTGCTCTAACGGCTCTGCTGTTGTCCTCACTGCTAATCAAAGCCATTCATCAGCACCTCAACAAAGACTCAGACACAAAAAAAACAGGCCTTACACTCAAATGCACCTATGCTATTTTATACTGCGACGATGCACATGCAACAAAAAAGCCAAAGTTTCATACAAACTGCTGTAATTGTGTATTTTATCAAATCATTTGTTGCTGCTTCTAAACCTTACTTACCCTTGAGATGCACAGTCTGGTTAACTGAGAAGACAACAAAAGAGCTCCTGTCAGAAAAAAAACAACAACAACAAATAGACTAAATACAGAAAAATCAACTGTGACATGCCTTGTGCCCCCAAAGTCAAAAGCACTTTACTTTATTTTCTCAATAGTCTAGGTGAAGGCAAACATAACACATCTTTTAGCAAAACTAGATTTTAGCTCCAAACATTTCTTTTCCTTCATTTTGATCATATTTTATGCACCAAATTGTAACTATGATGGTAAATGGACTTGAGCTTCGCAACTAATAAGCATCTTGTCTGGTTCAATAAAACATTTAAAATGATCCATGTTTTCACTTATTGTGCCAGGCATGGCTGCTGCCTTGTTTCTAAGGGACATATATGAGGATGGCATTAATCATGTCATCAGATTCTGCCCCATAAAACATCAAGCTGATTTTGATGATGTCAAAAAAATATCCTTTAAACTC